AGCACACTTGTGGTTTATAGTCATTAATTCAAAGTGGTACCAAGTATTATGATTGGGATTTTTTCTGTTATTTTCTTTTGTTATATGGGTGCAAAAGATTGAGATGTTTGATATTGTCTAGGTATGTAGTGTTGTCAGCTAAGTCCAAGAAATAGTAAACAGCAAGAAAATTGAGGATCTGCATTAGAGAGTGATTAAAGTGTTTCCCTATGAGATTTTATCCAGGTAAGGAAAGAAGAGATCAGGTTAGTGTGAGAGAGTGAAAATTATATGATCAATGGATTGAAATTCTCAGTAGGATAAAAAGATTGTTGATATTAGAGTGCTAAAAGTGAATTGGAAAGAGATAGAACTCAGGGTTGGAGATTCATTAGATAGAGTTTGTGAAGGGGTTATTGATGATATGGGCTGAAGTAGGGCCATGAAAGGAAATCACTGAGATAAAGAAGAGAATAAACTGAGAGAGAATTCAAGCAGAGTTAGAGAACTGAAGAATTGCCTAAGTGCTTACTGAAATGATGAACTAAGACAGGGGAGCTTTGGCATGATAGTGAGCCATGAGAAGAGGAAACCTAGAAGTTGGTAGGAAACAGGAAAAACAGCAGTGAGAGATGCAGTCTCATGGGTTTGTAAGCAGGGAGCATACCAGAGGTCAAACTAGACAGCTGCTCCCCATCCAGTTATTTGTAAAGCTTGAGAAGGGAGAAAGGGAGAAAGGGAAATGCTGTCTGTAGGAGAGAATCAGATTTCAATGACTGGAAGAAAAGGAAGGATTCTTCAGAGAAGAGAGTGAGGCTCTTTTGTGACAAGCCATAGATTCTGACTGACCCCATGGAAGTTTATGTCTACACTGAAGGGCTATTAATTGGAAATTAGTACAAAATATGTATGACAGCATCAAGCATGATCTGACCTTTCACAGGGGTTAAATACTACAGTTCCATCACTCTAGTCAAATATCAGCTTCATGTTATTTAGGTTGGGTCTGAAATGTGTCAAGAGAAAAGGAGAGTTTTGACAACTTTAACCTCTTGATAATAAGCCCTAATCAGGTAGTTGCTCCTTCACACACGGTGCACATTTCTGCACAAAATCTTAAATTAGAATGTCTTTGGCAGCAAATAACAGAAAACACAGCTAAAATAGCTTAATTTATTATTTATTAACACAAACAACAAAAGGTCTTATAGTAGGGTGACTTCATGTTTTTTTAATTAAGGGGGTCAATGACATCATCAAGGTCATAGTTTCATTTTTTCTTTTCCTGTTCTGCTGTGTTCAGCATTTTGTATTGTTTTCATATTTCTCTTAACCCAGTACAGCAGAGGCAACTGCAGTCACCACACCTCTGCAAGCTGTAGAAATAGAAAAGAAAGCTTTCTCTTGTGTGTGACTTTTTAACAGTGAGAACTTTTTGTAAGAATTTCTTTCCTGTCTCAATGTTGAGTTTCATCCCATGCTCACACTTGTGGTTGACTCAGACCAAGGTGAAGCTACCTGCTGCAGCTTTTGCATTTTTCTCTGCAGGACACAGACACATGTTGAAAAAATCAGGTCTTTGTTAGCAAGGAAGGAGGGAGAAGAACTGCTGGTTGGGTATCCAAAGATGTGCTTCATTGTCCTTTCCTTAATTGCATTATTTGTCACAGCTATACTGTAATTATCTATTGAAGCCAAACATGCTGATTGATGTCTGTTATTCTTGTGTACATGTGTATATAAGCATATATAAATAAGCATATATATGCTTACAGCATTAATTTTCTGTTGCTGAACATCAAATTATCACGAATTTTGCTTCTTAAGACAATATGTATTTATTATTTTATGACTCCCGTAGATCTAGAATCAGGCAAGTTGAATCTTGGGCCCAAGAGGTTGTGTGGCATCAAAGAAATTGCTAGACTGAAGCTCTCATCTGGAGCTTAAAGTTCCTTTCAGTTTGTCACCAGAACTCAGTTACTTGTGCATATAGTCAGGAGGTGCTGGTTTTGTGCTGCTATTAGGCAGACACCACTCCCAGCTATGAAACGCTGCCACAATTTTGCCACGGTTTTCTCTCAGGCAGCTCACAGTGTGATTATATGCTGTCTTCCAGGGAGGCAAGGATGCATCTAATTTCCAACCACCTCCAGAGCATAATTGTACATGTTGGCTATCCATCACCATTTGCCAGGTAACGTGACTATCTTAGTTGCTTTTCTCATTGTTGAGACAAAATGCCAACATCCACAAGTTAATACCCATTTTGCCTGGTAGTTTTTAGAGGTTCTAGTCCAGAGTAGCCTGTCTCCAAGGCAGGGTGGCATGGGAAAGAAGCACCACAGAAGAGAAATAGTCATGGTACACAGGCAGGAAGCAGCAAGTAGCAAGCCTCCTCTTTCTT